TCAGACACCTGCACTCAGGCCCGTGGTCCTGATCATCCTCTATTTGGACCTGCTGGGTAAAGCCACGAGGAACCCCAGAACGGGCTCCCACAAGTGGCCTACAGTAGAGCTGGAACAAAGGTGGCTGTAGGCAGCTGGGATTCCAGATCCTTTAGTTCTTTATCCCTGAGCAGAGCTTCAGACTTGAAAGGTCCGTTTTCAGCGGAGAGCCCACATACTCCACTTCCAAGCCTAAGAGTTCTGTCCATAGCAACAGTCCATCCTATTGTACCTAAATGTCAGTGAGTAGAATCTATGAGGAAAACTTGGAACCAAACTATCAGGGCTGATTGGAAAGAGCCCCCCCCCCATGTCCCCTCCGAAGGTCACCGAGTCATGATTATATGAAACAATAAATGTGTTAGAAGGAATGTTGACTCACTCTTCTGGGTTTTCGTCGGTGGGCTGGGTGGCGGAAGTGGGAGTGAGCCCAGGGCCTCACACGTGCTAAGCAGGCACTCTCCCCCTGAACTGTAACCCCAGACATTGTTTCCTTTCTTCCTCCTCTTCTGTTCTTTTCTCATTTAAAAACAGTCAGAAGGAAGAAAAGGAAAGATTTGAGAGAGTCTATATGGAAAATGAATGGTTAATGAGTAGTTAGATTCTGTTCACCAGGCCTTTGATTGTTGGTCCTGAGTCTAACAATGAGCTCTTTCCCATTTACCGGGAGAGCCCTAAAGCAATGGGTAGTTCTGTATCCCCCACGAACAGCTTTTTTTTGATACTGAGAATTAAGCCAGGGCCTCTCACATGCTGGGCAAACACTCTGCACTGAGCCACCTCCCCGGCCCTGATGGTTCCTTTTCAAATAGGAGGCCAGCCCGCCACTGACTGCTGTGCTTCAGAACTTTCCACGGGAAGCTCCTGATACTCCGGATACAGCGTGGCATTAGATGCTATGTCTGGGGCAATTTTCCAAAGCTTTAACCTATTGCCTTAGCTCACAGGTCTACTCATTTTAATAGAAAAGACTGTGACTGGTTGTATAAAGATTAGCAAATGGTGACCCACATCTGTAATCCCAGCACTTGGGAGGCTGAGGCAGGAGAGTACAGAGACAGGGTCTCTCTGTGTAGCACTGACTGGAATTCACAGTATAGACAAGGCTTGCCTCAAACTCAGAGATCCACCTGCCTCTGTTGCATTTCGATTAGTCTGTATCTCAAGCACCTGGCCTAGTACACGGAGGATACTTGTTAAATATTAGAACAATGAATTATGCCTAAAGTTCTGAGATTCCATCTCAGAGGTATGAATGAAACCTCCTAACCAGCACTTGAAAGTTGCTTTGAAAAGCAACTGTAGTTAATATGGCTTTCATTTCAAAATGGTAAGAGTAAATTTAAATGTTCTCCCTGTAAAAACATAAACATTTGAAGTAATAGATGTTAATTAGCTTGATTTTATTATTTCTTTATTTTCTCAAATCATAGTATCTGTATAATAAAAATTGTGAATTTCAAATAAATTTTAAAGCTGTGATTGTATGTTGTCACTGGTGTTCTTAGGCCTTTATTTGAGACCTCCCCATAAATGACAGAGTTTCCATTCTCAAGATGCCTCCATGTACCAAGCAGCACCAGGTATAAATATTCTGGTTTAGTTGGGACATCCTCCTGTCTCCGACTCTGATGTGACTTTTTTCCTTGTTGTCTCTTCTAATTCACAGAGCAGTAAAGAAGCCCTTTCAGAGGTCAATGCCACTGGAGTGGCCATGCTATTCTCTGCGGGGACATTTCTTTATGTTGCCACCGTCCATGTCCTCCCTGAGGTGGGTGGAATGGGACACAGCCACAAAGCTGACAGCACTGGAGGGAGAGGCCTCAGCCGCCTGGAGGTGGCAGCCCTGGTTCTGGGTTGCCTCATCCCACTCATCCTGTCAATAGGACACCAGCATTAACCGTCAGGTTCTGGCCTCAGGCCATGGCCATTGCCATCCAGGAAGAAGAGGGAGCGTGTGACGCTCCTCACTCCTCAGTGTTTTGTCTCGCCTTGTCCATCTCCACCGTGTTCCTAGAGCCCGAGGGAGATGAGAGTCCATCGTGGAGAAGTGGAACAGCGTGTAGCAGGAACATTGTCATCAGACAGGGACTTTGTGTTGTCTTTAAGGGACTTTGACATACCGAGTTCTGATGTTTCTCTTTACCCTATTCTCAGGGAAGATGGAATTTAGTTTTAAGGAAAAGTGGAGAACTTCATACCATGAAATAGCGATTATGAAAATACAGTATTCTGTAACTAAGCTCAAGTTTCCCCTTCATTTAGAGGCTCTACCACTTCCCCATTGGTTTTTCACGTGGTTCTCACCGTGTAAGACTGGTGCTTCAGCACCTGTGCCCCATGCCTTGAGAGAAGCGGGCAGCACTCACCCTCTTGGATACTAAGGTTAGAGTAAGGGAAAGAGGCCAGGAGACACAGCTGACCTGACCTGAAGGAGACATCCATCGAGAGGGGAGGTCTACAGGCTTGATCAGCTCCTTTGCACGTGCCTCCCTGAATAGAGCCTGCCCTTCCTCCCATAGAGCCTTTGGAAGCGGGGTCTGGTGTCTTGTAGCTTGTTTCTGAAGTATCCTTTACAGGGTACCCGTCTGCAGCACATTCTTCCAGAGGAGCCAGGGTCTGTTCAGACACAGGCTTTCCTTCAACAGCAGTGGGATCGCAGTGAAGAAATGAAGGGATGTTAAATTTTCTGGGAATTTGGATAGTAACTGACATCTTTGTAGTACCCTTTTATAAAGTAACACTATTACAAAGTGTGGTGTTCTTTTCCGCTAAGTCGGTGGTTCTCAACCTTCCTAACGTTGCAACCCTTTAATACAGTTCCTCGTGTTGTGGTGACCCCCAACCATAAATTATTTTCATTGCTACTTTATAACTGTAATTTTGCTACTGCTGTGAATCATAATGTAAATATCTGATATGCAACCCCTGTGGGGGTCACAACCCACAGGTTGAGAACTGATGCTCTGAGTATTGCTTTTAGCAGCCAGCAGCCCCTGGCTAGGCCCTTGCCCAGAGTGGAGAGTTTCTGTCCACTCTCGGCTCCCGTGCAGGAGCAGCAGGAGTGTCAGAAGGGCGTGTCTGCCACTGCCTCAAGCTGCTCCCTGCAATCATGTCTGCGTCCTGCCCTCCCATGCTGTGCTCTTCTCCTGCCCCTCCATGTCCTGCTCACTGCTCCTGGTGACGTCAGGCCTGTGTGAACGTCCATCGGGACAGCCACTCCTGAACCACGGTGACAAGAGAGCACTGTCCCTAGTCTTCATTTCCTTCAAATACGTTACCTTTGTGTCAAATCCAGCCTCATCAAGCCTTGATTTGTCACTTCCTCCTGTGAGCCGACACATCACGAACACTCTGAAAATTTCAGCAGTTGAGACAAAGTATTCAACAAACGAAGGTGATTTTTCCATGTTTGCCAAAATCTGCCTAAACCCTGTGTTGTCAGATAGGTGTATAATACTGTATTAATTTACATTTTCTGTACCGTTTCAAGACACTTTACCTAAAGAGAGAGCCAAGACTAGTTTCTTCAGTGCGGTGGGTGCCGTCATTTATATTTTTCTCTGACACCCATGCCAGCCAGCATGCCTGTGGTTTCCTCTGTTTCTCGACTGAATTGTCACTGGGTCACAGCTGTGGAACTGAACTTGCCAGCCCTCTGCTGGCTGCAGTGAAGAAAGGAGCCGAATGGGCAGGCGCAGTGTCGGATGGAGGCTGGTAGCCATTGCCTCCCTGGGAAACTGAAGGCATGCGGTGTGCGAGTCGGGGTCTCTCTCCTGGTTAGGCGCCAACAGCCGACTCGGGGAAGGTTTGCTCTCGTCTAGTCCTTCCAAAGTACGGTTGTCGTGGTTCTTTCTGGAAACTCACTGTGTCGAGTAGATAGCCAGTTCTGTGTTGGACTTGGCTTGAGTAAAAGTAACTCTGTCACCTTACTCCGTGCAGGGGTCAGGGTTTGTCGCACTGGCCAGAGCCTCTCTCACCCGGCAGTGCCTTGCCGTCTCGCTTAAAAGCTTGGCTAGAATATCTTGCTGGAGAGGGCCTTGGACCCTGGCCGGGACGGAACCATCAAACTCCTAAATTTGCCTCCCCCACCCCAGGCCTCAGTAGTAAAGAGCTTTCCAAAGCTGGGGCCTTCCCCAGGCCCCGAGCTGCTGCCTGGGAACGCTCATCCCTCCCTGGCCAGCAGGCTCACTAGCCATATGAATCTTAATAGGGCTCCAATGCATTTAGGCAGCAGGAACCGTGCAGCAGGGCAGAAGCCTCTGTCTAGGGAGACAGAGGTCACTCACGTGGCAGGCATTGGAGAGGCCACCTTGATGTTCGCTTTCCAGCGTGTTTCAGTTCTGTTTTCCTCCTCCTCCTCAAAACTTCCTCCGGAGGTGTGGATGCCTTAATAATCCGATAACACATTTGAACACATTGGTGATACTTCAGCTGCTGCCATGATTACCAGTGGAATTACGGGCTACCAAAGAAGTAACTGATAAAAAGCTCGGGCCATCCTTCCTCATAACCAAAGCAGTCTTAATTACAATTGGAGCCCCTTTCTCTGGGAGATGTAGATGGACTTCAGATTCCAAGCACTGCTCTTTTTTTTTTTTTTTTTCCCCAAGACAGGGTTTCTCTGTGTAACAGCCTTGGCTGTCCCAGAACTCACTCTGTAGCTCAGGCTGGCCTGGAACTCACAGAGATCCACCTGGCTCTGCCTCCTGAGTGCTGGGACTAAAGGTGTGCGCCATCACCGCCCAGCCCAAGCCCGCTCTTAAAAGGCAAATTGAAGTTGAAAACGCTGATCCACTCCCCTCACTGGTCCCCGGTGTTGTCAGTCTCGATCAACAGAGCGGCGCTGTTCCCATTTGGCTCTGCCTTCCTGTGTGCGCTGTCCAGCAGCTGTCCTCCAGGCAGCCGGTCTGGAGTGCCAGTGGTGGGGACAGCACTGAGGCCGTGTCTTCTTCTCCTCATTCCACCTTATTCCCCAGACTTCTCAATTAAAGACAGCCGAGTTGGCCTCTTCTGGGGGTTTGGATCAGTAGAGAAAAGAAAAGGAGGGACTGTTCAGAGGTGTCATTTCTTGTCGAAAGGGGAACATAGATTTTTTTTTAACCAGTCTGTCACTGGCTGGCTCTCTCTTTCAAGGGTTAGAACTAGGAGGGACACACCAGCAACAGAGTGTGTTAAGCCCTGAAACTCATGGTAGTGACGTTCTCAACATGGGGACTGTATGCCAACAGCACAAACCTCTAAAATGCTCCTGCCTTCGGGCCAGAGCCGGAGACTGTCGCAGCACAGGCGACACCCTCGGCAGTCACTCGACAGGAGTCCTTGCGGTAGCAGACTTGTGCTCAGTACAGAGTGGGCCTCACCCCTGAGGAGCTCTGCTGGAGGTACTCCACAACACAGCCTGGTGGGAAGGGACTGGCAGACGTGTGGTACTTCAGATGTGCTCAGCCCAGCACAGCTCTAAACACAGACTGGCTTCGCTCTCTGTCGGGTGGTGTCTTCCTGTAAGCTGGGAGTCGGGTGGGGTGGTAACATCACAGGTCTCCTGGTTTGGTGGCCTGAACGGTGATTTCAAATGTCCCTTTGTACACAACGGTTATTTCTGGATCCTTTGTACACATAAACTCATTCCATGGATGGCTGCCTTATAATTTTGTCTCTTTCCACTTTAATTGTGAATGGTTTAAAAATTGCTGTTTTCTGATTTGTTTATGATATTAAATTTTTATCAGTGCATATCTTATGTGGATGGCTCTTTATTTATACACTGGCAGTATTTGTGTTTGGCAACCAGACCTGATGCAGATTTGAACGTCAAAAAGGTGGGCAGTCGGCATGGCGTAACTGGTCAAGGCGCCTGCTGCCAAGCCTAATGACCTGAGTTCAGTCCCCGAGACCCCCGTGGTGGAAGGTGAGAACCAACTCCTGTGTGTTGACCTATGATCTCCACACGTGTACTGTGGCGTGTGTGCCTCACCCCCACACAAACAAAAGGAAAATATAATTGAAACATTTTGAGGTAACGGTAGGTCGTAAGGGACAGAAGAAAGATACCTTAGACGGGAAAGAGGGAGGGGCAGTGAGGGACCCAGTGTGCCATTGCTCCAAGAGAGATCCAGTGATAACCACCTCCTCCCGTGTTGCTCATTAGCAGATAGTAATTTATAAAAGGAGCTTTTCCAAAAGAGAAGCAGGCAAATGGATCATCATCCACTCCTTTCAGAGGTCAGGGGTGTCATGTGAGCATGTAAGTGCTGTGATCAGTGGTCTCGAAAGAGGTACTTACATAGAAGTGCTGACTTTTGAACTAGGCATGTGGGGGGGGGGGGCAGAAGAGTGGGGGGAAGACAGACAAGCCTCAGTGTGGAGGGCCGAGAATGGCTTTCATGAGCTTCCCTCCTACCCTGGGTTGCTTCGAACTTGGGCTGCCAGGCTTGCGTGACAAGCCACAGGCACTTTTACTCACTGAGCCGTCTCCCTGGCCCGTGGAGTTTTTGTTTTCTTTCATTGAACACGTATATTTACTGTGTTAATGACGTGCTCATGCCTGTTGACTTAGCACTCCAGAGGCAGAAGCAGGTAGGCTGCCATGAGGTCAAGGTGGGCTAAGGAATGCAACAGAGATGGTAGTTGGTGCCTGTAGTCCTAGCACTCAGGAGGTGGAGGCAGGAGGGTCAGAAGTTCAAGGCTATTCACTGCATAGTTCAAGGCCAGCCTGGTTTGCGTGAGACCCCAACCCAAAAAATACGTATATTAGTGATATTAATTGGACAAAATAATGGACTTCGTTATGATGTTTGCATACATATATGGAATGCGGCCTCTGCCTCTCAAGTGCTGGGACTAAAGGTGCGCACCACCACACCTGTCTCAGATAACTTCTAACTGTAATGCAGATTGCTTCATATGGCCGCTGAGTGATGGGGTAAGTGCTGTTGCACACACAGTGGAGTGTGGATGAGGTAAGTGCTGTTGCACACACAGTGGAGTGTGGATGAGGTAAGTGCTGTTGCACACACAGTGGAGTGTTGATGAGGTAAGTGCCGTTGCACATGCAATGTTGTTGTACACCATTAGAGCTCCATATGTATCTCAGGTGAGGTGCTTCAGAGTTCTGGAAAACATCTCTTCATTAAGAAAACCAACTGAGCCGGGCGGTGGTGGCGCACGCCTTTAATCCCAGCACTTGGGAGGCAGAGCCAGGCGGATCTCTGAGTTTGAGGCCTGGGCTACCAAGTGAGTTCCAGGAAAGGTGCAGAGAGAGAGGGAGGGAGGGAGGGAGGGAGGGAGGTCTTTTGGGCCTTTTAACATTCTCTGCTGTTGCAGCCTTCGCCCTACAACAAGATTGGGTGCATTTAGGGGATTCGCCTGAACACTGGCCGTAGGCAGATTTACTCAATACTTTAAGAGCCAGAAATCAACTTTCTGTGGGACTTGCACAGACATCCCAAGCTAATATGGAGCTGGGTGTTGGAAGGTCCTCTTCCCACTTACGGCAGGGTCTCACTGTAGTGTAGCCCAGGCTGGCCCCGAATTCATGATCCACCTGCTTCAGCCTCCCAACTGCTGGGACTGCAGGTGTGCACCACCCACCCTGCTAGAGGACCCCCTTTTGGTGAATGAATTTGAGAGGGTTTCAAAGTATCTTACCTTCAACCTTTCTATTGAATAAAGATGGCGCTGACACTGGTCCTAATCAGTGCTATCTGGCCTGCTGAATTTTGCACTCAGTTCTACATGAGGGGCCAACTCGCTGGCTCTCCCTCAAGGATGTTTTGGGAATGTGTGAGACTATAGCAAGAAATGGCTTCCGAGTTTACTAGCCAAACTCAGCACATCTGCCAAGACCCAAATACAGTATCCTTCCTCTTCGAAGCTAAATTAATACATGTATTTTAATCCACACAGCACCCTCAAGGGGCAGCAGCATAAGCATCTCTGAGAAGTCTGCTGTCCCTGTCATGCCCCTGGGTTCCAAAACCCCGTATGAGTGCTGGGAAGTGGCAGGCCAGCAGGGCAACAAGGTGTTCCAGCTACCCCAAAAACACCAGCTACCCTGGAGACCTTGGGTGTGAGCACTTGTGGGTAGTTAGGGCAACAGGCCACCTGATGATGAGACCAATCTAATCTTAGAGGGAGTCCTGGCAGGGAAATCCCTTATTGGGCTTTAGCAGAGGGGCTTCAGGTGGACTTACCCCGGGCAGGCAAGCCTTCCTCGGGGCCTGTGGGGACCCTGATCACCCAGAAGGACCAGTCTTCCATGCCCGTATAATGCTCTCATTTGCTTCCCCTACCTTCGACTTACAGGCTTTGCTCTGACCCACAGTGCATGTACCACTTTACCTCCTGCGCTGGTTAACTGTCAACCCGACATGACCTGCAGTCACCTGGGAGGAAGCCTCAGTGAGGAACTATCTAGAGCAGGTTGGCCTACTGTAGACATGCCGGTGGAAGACGGCCCTGACTGTTAGTTGATGGTGGATAGTGCCATCCCATGGGCGAGGCTCCGGCCTGTGTGAACAGAGAGTGCCAGCTGAGCACCAAGCAAGCAAGTGATGCGCTCTCTGCTCTTGGTCGTGGATGTAACGTGATTGGCTGCTTGAGTTCCTGCCTTGACTTACCCAAAATGGATTGTGATTTGGAATTATAAGCCAAATAAACCGTTTCCTCCCTTTCCTGTTGCTTTTTGTCAAGGCATTTTATCACAGAAACAGAAAAGAGATGAGCAGACATCTCTCCAAGGTTTCTCTGGAGGCAGCCAAGCCTTGCACAGCAACCCCACCTGGTCTTACACAGTCCAGTCACAGAAGGAATGGAGCACAATGAAAAGGAGTTTACCAGGGGAGTGACATGGGGAAGGGCATTGCAAATGAAGAGTCATTTGACCTGAGTCTAAGCAGGACTGAGAAGGAAGAAGAGCAACATTCTCGACCAAGGGAAGGTCGAGCAGAGCAAAGACGCAGATGTGCGTGACAGCTAGAACATCGGAATTCGTGTGACTAGAGAGCTGGGGAAAGGAGCAGGCTGAGTCCTGGTGTGTGTGCGCGCGTGCGTGCGTGCGTGCGTGCGTGCGTGCGTGCGTGCGTGCGCGTGTGTGTGTGTGTGTGTGTGTGTGTGTGTGTGTG